TACGGAATGCATTATTATTATATTTATATGTCTCACTAAGTCCATGACTTAGCGTGTAAGTGATTTACACGTAGGTACCAAGAATCATGAAGAGCGAAAATAGGGTGGTAAGAACAACAACACTGCTAGAAGATCAGATCAGAAGTAACAGATAAAATATGTATTTTGTCGTGTATAATGTTGGCATGTAAGAAAAGTGTTTGTTACGAATACTCTGATCGATTTAGTATTTTGTGGTTTCTTTTATGTAAATTAAGGTATTTGGTTTTAATGAAAGTTTAAAATTTCTTTGTTTTCTTTAAGTGTCAAAGTTTGAAAAGTCAATGTGACACCTCAGACTCATATTCAGGTCGGATACGGGTTAGGGTGTTACATTTTCTCTCAACGATCCCATTATGCTCGGATGTATGGGGACACGCTAATCTGTGAGTGATACCAGTTTGGTTAGAAGTGGGGAAAGGCTGCGAAATTCACCACCCCAGTCACTTTGAACAGACTTAATAGAGGCACAAAACTGAGTTAACACCATCTTTTGGAAGGGTAAAAAAGCTTTGGTGGACTGAGACTTATATTTGAGGAGATAAATCCACGTGTGTCTGGTACAAGCATCAACAAAAGAAGCATAATACCTAAAGCCATTCGAGGAGATGTGTGGAGGTCCCCACAAATAAGTGAAAATAAGTTGAAATGGAGTGTCATAGGATGTGGTTGATTGCATAAATGGTACACATTTTATTAATATCAAAAGAAAATTTTACATCGAGCTCTTTAGTTACTTGTCTTAGTGTTTCAGTAGAGGGATGGTCAAGTCTTCTATGCCATAACTCCTCAAGCTCTCTAGTCACAGTTTTAGTAGCTAAATTAACATCAGCAGCAGTGCACATGTCTTCTTTCCCAGTCTAATTTGCCACAAATAAGTAGAGCCCTCCAGATTCTTCACTAGTCAGGAGCACTCGTTTGGTAATCTCATCACGTACACATCAGTTATTTGCATGAAACTAAAAAAAAGATGTTGTTTTCCCTAGCAAACTTCGAAACTGAAAGCAAATTCTTCGTTATATGAAGAACGTGCAACAAATCATGTAATATTAAAATTCTAGATGTAGTAGGTAAAGCTGCCCTACCAACTGTTCGAATGTCAAGGGAAACACCATTACCAACTGTAATTTTACCTGGTCCATGGAAATTAGTGGCATTTGTAAGATTTGCTTTGTCTGTTGTAACGTGATGGGTGGCACCCGAGTCCACCACCCAACGTTCAGAAGAAGCAGTGGCCATATTTGCTTGAGAACCTGTCTTTATACGCGAGCAACCCTCACAACCTTGGTTACTGGCAGAAGACGAGAAGTAGTTACCAGAGGAACTCTCTTTGGGAGAGTGAGAATTGATAGTAACACAATTGAAGTCTTCATCAAATCTATGCTAACAACGGTCAACCAAGTGGCCTGGCTTCCTACAAAGTTGGCATTGGACACGTGTTCGACCACCATTCCTCGATCCAGATACAGATGACGCTGCACGACTGTTCCTATGTTCTGAACGATTATAGGTGCTACGATCAGTGTCTCATCGAGCATAATTGGCAGAATTTCCTTCTGTTCATCAAATCTTGCAATTTGGACCTCAGCATCCATCAACATTGTATGTATGTTATCAATTGAAAAATCCTCTTTCATGGTAGAAACAACAGCCATGAAGGGCTGATACTCACAAGGGAGACCTTTCAAGATTGTCACAATTTGCTCAACTGGTGGGACTGCACTTCCACACGAGGCAAGAGCATCACATACTTCCTTGATGCGTGTGAGATAAGTTCGCATACTATCATTACCTTTCCTTATTGACCGTAGTTTATAATGCAGACTCATAACAGACATAGTTGAGCGATTTGCAAAGAAATTTAGAATCGTTTCCCAAACGGCAGCAGCAGTATCAACTCCAACAAATTGTGGGAGCATATGTGTAATCATCGTTGAAAGAAGCCACGATGTCAGTGCACTGTCCTGCGCGACAAAATCTTCATACTCATCATTTACGCGAGTCTCACAATTTGGATCAATAACCGTCATGGGTGGTGAGGAGACATCACCTATTAGCAGTCGCTCCAGCCGGTGACTCCTGACTGTAAGCAAGATCTGCTATTTCCAAAGTAAGAAATTGGTTTCATCAAGAACCACGTTAACTTTCTTGTTGGAGAAGCTTCGAGACGTCGTGGAGGTAATATCTATGGTTGAGTTGATCTTCAAGAATCTAGATTCATGAGCGGAAGCAAGGAAATATGATCCCACGATCAATGGCGATTGATACCATGTTGGATATATGATCTAAGCTAACGAACTTATGTAAGCTGAATGAAGAAGATGAAAAAGTATATTATTGATCTACACCTCTCACATCCTTATATACAACTTTACAAGATTGGTACGGACTTTGTAACTGACTACTAACAACCTCAACAAATCTTTAACAACTTAACTCCTAGTAAGCTTCTAGAATCATTTATGCTGCATGCTCTAGAAGTGTTGGCGTTCACAGGCTCATAGGCTCATTGTGCTAACAAACTGGAGTCGTCATGGATGAAACAATGAAGAAGAATGTAAGAAGGAGAAAAGGGTATCTAACCATTGTGTTTTCTGTGGGACAGAGAGAAAGAGAAGGAAGAAAGATGGATTTTTAGATCCAAAAGTGAGTTCGTTTTATGTCAAATTCGTGAAGAATATAAAAGAATAATTAATGCAGAAGAAGAATATGGAGGAGACAAAATGTTGATGAAAGCCGACCATGCATGTACAAAGAGCATGTCATACAGTAGTATAATATAATATGAGGATCTTGATGTGCAAAGGTAAGAAAATCATATGGAACTGAAACAACAGAACTTTTCAGAGTTTGAACAAGTAGTGGAGAAGGTGAAGTTAAACAATAATAATAATTAACGCGTCATATTTAAAAAATTTATATTTTTATTTATAAAATTTTATAAATTCATTTTTTAAATATTTTTTAACTTTATCCTCTTAACATAAAATTACGTGCAACCCTCCTCAAGAGGGCCTATTACTAAGAGAAAATTGGTTAAGAAATGAAAAGATGGGACAAATTGGATGAGAGTAGTCGTCGGTAGGACAGTAGCAACGGTAGGGGACTGCCTGCCGCCCTGAGCCACAGCGGTAGAAGCTGAATACCTACAGGGCCAACCCTATCCTCAAATGCTAAATTAACCATTAAATAAATAAAATAATAATAAAAGATATAAATATTAGACTTAAGGGGTATTTTTACATTGATACTCGATTCAAATTATTAATATTATCCCTTATTTTTAATTACATTAAATTAAATTCATGAATTGCATCAATGTTATTTTTTTCTCTCAAGAGAATGCATCATTAGCTGTTATATTATTGATGTGATAATTTATGATATTCATATAATAATTTATATGTGAATAATAACATGTTAAATGAGTTTAATTAATTTTTAGAAATTCGAGGGTTTCATTGATATTTTTTCAAAAAAATTGTATAAAAATTCAAATAAAATTAAAATATTAAAAGTTCAAATGTTTTAGTCGAACAAATCTTCGATTATCTTTCAATATTGTGTTACAACAATAATAACTTATTTTATAAAAAATGATGCTAATTAATATTTTTGGATTTCAAATTTAATTGGTTAGAAGCAATTGATATAATAAGACGAAATCAATTTGAATTTTTAGATGATCGTTTAATCGATTATTATTTTTTCTGTGAATATATTACTGAATATTTGGGGTTTACTATAGAGAACTCAAATTAATGTGATTGTATTATAGCAATTACATTTGAAAATTTAGAATTTATGATAAAAAAACTCATTAATATTATTTTCATATAAACTATATTACAATACTTTTAAACTATAATAATTAAAAATCAGTGTTTTTACCAATAATTAGTTGGTCTAATAGGATTAAGCACTAGATATTTTTAAGCAAAAGATCATGAGTTTGAATCTTGACATTTGTGAATGCAGCAAATTGGGTTAGGAGGGTTGTCCTCATCTCTGCAGTACTCAATCTATATTTTTCGATTAATAAATCGAAAACCGATGATTATACAAACAAAAATCAGTGTTATACAAGAAAAGATTATCGAAGACTTTTTGTTACGTAAGTGTTAAGTTTCTTTTAAAACTTTACAAATGTTTTTAATTTTATTTTTTAATAATTTAAAATTTATAGTTTTATAATTTATTATATTTTTATTTTATAAATTTATTTTTTTTTATTTTTTTTCTAAAGATTAAATAAACTCTCAAATTTTATAAAAAATGATTAAATCTTCAATTTTTCAAAAAGATTAATTAATTTCATTTGTCATGTCATCATCTACATGTAAACTACCACATAAGTTAAGATAATAATTGAAAATGATAATTAATATTAATAATTAAAATAAAAAAAAAGTGCCTTTTAAATTTAAATTTTAGTAACTAATTTTTTTATTATAAGAAAATTTATTTCTTATTTAAAGTTGTTGCATTGAAACTTCAACATTTAATTCTATTTGGTCTAAGAAAACGTTTAACAGACTTATGATGTAGAGCGGTCCACTGGGGTTTCAGTTTTCCTTTCTGACTTGGATTTTGTCTGCTCGCTAAAATTTGGACTTAAACTTTATATAAATTATTTCTTTATTTCTATAATTTTATTAATAGGTTTAATTGATAAAATATTTAAAAATATATTATTTCTTTATTTTTATAAATTTGGAATTTTTTTTAAATACAATTTATTAATATAAGGTTCAAAATCAGTAGAAATCAATCGAAAATCTTATTAAAAACCTAACATTTTAGGTTAGACAAAGTAATATTATAGGTTGAAACTAAAAGTGTTATATATATATATATATATATTGTATCTTCAAAATTATTAATGGAAATGGAATAGTTTTACTTGCAACTTGTACCTGAGGGGAAGATGAGAGCTCTGGAAGTAGAACAAAAACAGAAAACTAGGTCCATTTTGATACAAAAGGAAAGCCTATTTGCGAATATAGTCTCCTTTTTCCCAATAACTGTTAGTACTAAAAGTACATCCAATATACTGATATGAAACATCTATAACTTCACTGTGATGGACATTTTTGATTTGAACAAAGGGTTCTTTAAGAAAACTGCCAAACTAGACTCAATTGTACCATACCCATATCAAAGTTTTGTCATCTCTGTTAGGGGCCAAGGGGACGGCGTTATAGAAAGAATCATACTGGCCCCAATTGGCTCTCTGAGTCATTGGAACGGCTTTCTCTTTCGGGTTTCTTTCTTTTGGGATAGTTACTTGGAAACCTGACATCCAGAGACAGATAGAGTTAGTCTACGAGAACGGACAATAGCGGTGAAAAGGGCAACAACTTCATTTTGGTCAGCAAGTGCAATCGATATCAAACAATCAAGTAACACTTAGGCAACAGTAGAATGCAATGAAGTAATGACTCTAGTCAATCTCAAGAACAAACTACCCAAATATAAGAAATACATACCCTAAATGCAAGGTAGTGTCTGAATCGCCCTTTTCGACAGTGCAAGCACAGGTGCCATATGGACTGGGAATACTATGACTCATGAGAGAATTTTTCCTTTCGACAGGATAGTATTCGAGATAGGAATGGGCCAGGTGATCAGCTGATGGAAAGAAACCTCTTAGCTCCTCAACCTGCATCGGTAGGCACAAGTAAAAATAGGTTACGTGTAACCCAAACCATAATGAATGGTTTTCAGTTTCGTCAATGGAAATATAACTTGCCTGTCTGCGTAAAGTTTCATTCTCAAGCAACACCCGCTGCTCCTGGAAACAGAAATTCAAATGAACTAATTAACTGGAAGGGATTTTTAATCTTTTCCTTTTTAAAAAAACAATCTTTTATACGCATATAGATATTAATCCACTTCATTGACAGATACACAACAGGAAAGATGCATGGAACTGTAACTTTTAGCCCTTTTCCGCGTGTTGATTCACAAATTAAATTACTTCCAATAAACTTTCCATTTCCCACTTTCCTCCCATCCTTCTGGTTCCCACCATTTGCATACTACCATCCTTATTATTATCAGATTAGAGTAACTTCAAGTGTTTATAACCAATGTGTTGCAAGTTCCATGAGACCATGCCTTCAGACAAGTATAATCAAGCATTCTCATGATGAAGATCAAATTTTCTTTTCAAAATGAGCCTATAATTGGAGATAACCATAGGCGTAGCATCCGTCTTTACTGTTCAAAAATATGGTTTTTAGACAATAAAAGATATGCAGAGTGGGATCTGACATACCTGTACTCTCGATTGCTGTAGTTGTTCCATAAGAACTTGTTCCTGAAATGGTAGATTTTGTATTAAGGCCTCTCGACTAACAGATTGCTTTTAGAAACAAGTAAGCAATTAACCTAATAGAACTGATGAATTTGGAGAAAATGTCATACAACCTTCTTCTCCTTCACAGATAACAACCCTTCACTAAGCTGTTGCTCCAGGACCTCGAGCTCTTTCAAGCTCATGCTGGTCAAGTTCTTACCCAACAGCTGTCTATAAAATCAGAAAAATAATTAATTCAAGGGAAAGTAATATCTCTGTATAGAAGAAAAATATAACGGTCAACACAAAACAGATAATTAAGATGACATACAGTTGTTTCATTTGCAGCTTTGCAACTTCATCCTTCAGATTTTCTGTCTCCTTAGAGTCTTGCTTCTGCAAACAAGTGTATACCCGAAATCATCCGTATGAATACTTTCAGCATACAACTATTGTAAAGAAAAAATAAATGAAACAGAAACATATTCAGAGAAGAAAATTTAGTTAACTTATTTCGATTGGCAGTAACCACATGCCATGCACAATTAAGTCTTAGATTCCAACTTCCAATTATCATCTTGAGATACAACACGCACATACAGATGATGAAGTTGAAATATGTTGTTCCGACACAAAAGGAAACGGGATTTGCATTTCTAAGCATAAAATGCATATTACCTCTGCTTTATGTTCCATTAGAGGGATCTCTGGAGAACCTTGCAAACACTTGTTGTATCTGGAAAATGTTTTCTTCATGCTGCACAAATGAACAACTGAATAAGACAATACCCTTATTCTAGAAAGAAATTAGACACATTCTTTAAATTAGAACATTCAGCGTTCCCATTACATAAAACATAAAACTTAAACTATGAACCCAATCTACACAATGAAACAAACAATGCTTAAGAAAGCAAAGCACTTTATGATCTCCTATAGCAGGATGCCTCCACTATCTCACTAATCTGCGATCATCGGGGCTAACAGGTAGAAACCGACATAGATTAACATGTCCCAATCCTTCAAAAGAAGGTACCATCTAAAATTTCAATAAACTCAATCATTTGGCATACCAATTTTCCATTGAAATTTCAATCAGAAACTCTCAGTTGGTATATGAAAGGGATGCAACTTTTCACTTGATGTAGGTATAAAAGCAAACAAGCAAAGAGAAATTGAACATCTCATTACAATTCTGTGCTTGCAATTCAAAACAAAACCTCTAATGTGTATCAGAAGAAAACATGTTTATAAAAAGCCCCCCAAAAGTGAAAATTTCAAATTTGCATTAACTCTTCCAAAAATCACATGCAATGCAAAAATTAAGAAATAAACAGGTAACGCACAATTTCACAAAAGTCATTTCCTCCTAAAAAAACATTTTTCCCATCTAAAAAGCTTAAATGATAATAAACTTACTGTCGATCATAAAATGCAACAATTCTGAAAACGGAGAAGAAAAGGTAGGAAGAACTGATGTTCATAACGAAATTGACAGAAAATAATATAATGTCAAAACAATCAGAAGAAACAAATCTAAACAAACATGCAAGAATTTAAACAAATTAAAAATTCCAAAAACCCACTAAACTTCTCAATCGGTGACCCCCTGTCAAACACCAGTCTGATATAATCCAAAAAAACACTCATGCAATGATAAAAAGAAACATTTTCAAAAAGAAAGAATCTTCATTTTTTATATGTAATGCATACCCAGAGCTGGAATATTCGAATAGTTTGCCAGTATTGGAGAAAATTATGACAGCAACCTCAGCATCACAGAGAATAGCGAGTTCCTTAGCCTTCTTAAGCAAACCCGCACGCCGCTTGGAGAACGTGACTTGTCTGCTATTAGCATTCTCTATTCTCTTTATCTCTATTTTCCCCCTACCCATTTTTCTCCTCTCTGCTCTGTTTCAGTTTCTTCCCAAAAACCCAGAAAAAAAACTACAGGAAAAAGTAATTGATTATTTCAATCTCTGTAGAACAAATGAATAAATGACCAACCACTTCTGGCTTTGAATTTAAATATCCTACTTTGATTACTAAGAGGAGAGAAAGCTTAATTTGGGCAGTAAGAGAAAGAAATTATTGCCAAAATTAGAGAATGGGGGAAGATAGAAAAAAAAATAAAAAAGGGCAGGCGTTTTGAAACTGGAAACGACAAGTTTCTTGCATGGCTCTCTGCAATTCTATTTAGAGTGTGCTTCCATTATATATTCCTTTGCCACATTTGGGTGAGATAATTTTTTAGGTTATAGGCTCTGATGCTGGACCCCACCTTCTTTTTCTGTGGTCCCCACTTAAAAAGAGTAAAAATTTATCAATTAATGGGTTGAATTTGCTTGATCTGTTTAACTCTTGTTGAATCTTGGTTGCTATATTTGTTTCTATACATAATGTGTTTTTGAGGAGGAGATTTGCCGGCTACAAACGCACGCATCTTAGGATTTTTGTTTTCAAAAATGGTAGATTCTAGCACTAGATATGTGGGATTTTGCGGAATATTTATAACAATGACTTTTTAAGCTTTATTTCCTTATATTTCACCTTTCAAGGTCTTTCAAAACAAAAAATCTTAAAAAAGCATTTATCTTTTAATTATCATTATTTTTTAACCATTTCTAACTAAGGGTGTGGAAAATAAATTTTTGCTCATACGATTTTAAAAAATGAAAATGTCAACTGAAAACTTTTAATCACTTGCTCTATAGATTATTAACTTTCCTAATTAAACCTTAAAAAAGTATTTATCTTTCAAGCATATGGTTTTATTTTATTATTATAATAAAGGTATATGGTAGAACTGATGCAAGGGAATTTTATCATGGCTGCATTATCGACGAACAACTATAACTTTGAAGAATTACATATGACAAACTCTGTAGTGTTTTGGTATCGTCTTGATAGACGGTCGGTACTAACTGATAATGTGAAGGGAAAGGTTGTGAATTCTAAATTCGAGATTTCAGGTTGTTGAAAACCAGTGCTCAAGAAATCAGAACCAGCAGTGTTCTGTCACACAGATGAACTAGGCCCTGCGCAAGGCTGCAACAGTGGGACTTCTCTAGTTTTCGCTGGATCTACTAGCATCTTATGTTGATTCCCTCTTTTCTCTTTATTCGATTTTTTTAGTATAAAATCAACCCCATCAGCCGAACTCATTACCCAATATTAACCCACAACTTATTACCCAATATTAGTAAACAAAAGGATTAGAGCAGGGGAATTTGGTTTTCTAGTTCTTTTAACATACGTCTTTGTCGTGGTTTCTCTGGAAGTAGGCCACGAGTAGTTTGATCGCAACACGCCTGCAAATTAAATTAACTGTTTAGGGGGAAAATACAAAATGAGTCATAGCAGTTTCAAACTCAAAAAATAGAGGGAAAAATTATGTTCTAATCACACAGAGACACAAATATTGATTCAGATACATCCAGTTTTGACATGCATAGTGTCTAACCTTCTGCTAGCATTCTTTCAGATTGTGAAAGGCAGCAAAAGGGAGAAAAAATGGATTGGAAGTCTGTCAGACAGCTGCGTGACCACCCCAGCTAGAACAAAGCAAGCTGAGAACGATCCTCCGCGGTCACGGTGATCTCACAACAGTTGAGCCACCGGACCAATAATCACGCTCTGATCACACAGCCTCGATTCATCAACCAGACTTGGAATCCTGTCTCCTTAGAACTCAAGGATACAGAGGTACGAGCCTATAGAACAGATCCTGTTCAAGTAAGGTCGTGCCCTTACGTCTCCCGGTTCTAACTTAAATAATGTTCGCTTTTGGCTTTCCACTTCAATGTGGGATTTTGTTCAGCTTCCGAAGCATAGTCAGTGTTATAACCTACACGTGTCTTCCATTATCTACTTAACCTTAGGAGGAACGGATTGTTAATTTACCAAAAAGTAAATTAATTAAACTTGTTTTAACATTTAAATACATCATCCCAGCTATAACAATATTTTTATTGCTCGATAACTCATGCATTATTTATAACATTATATGTTTAACAAAAATTACATTTATTATAATAATTCAACTTAGTGATTTGATTTAAGTGATTAAAAAGAATATCATTTTTATTGAGGTCCTAAGTTTGAGTAGATGTATCTACGGAGTGTGTATGTATTTTTAATGATTAAGAAAAATTAAATAGATATTATCTTGTAATCATCTTAGATTATTAAAAAAAATATAATAATTTTTTATATATATTTTTTTTATAAATTTTACTATAATTTTATTTAAATATTAAATTATTAAAAACAAATATCGATCAATTTAGGATTAAATAAATTTTTAAGGATTAAACTAAACAAAAATTGTAATTATAATTCTTGACTTGTCATTTGCTTTTCCATTAAAATTAGACGGATTTAACCTAGTCAAAGTGGTGCTAATGTTGCATATTCTTATTGGGTTCGATCAATCCGACCCATGATCATCCCTAGTTATTATAAGGTAATATATGTTCAATTTTTTTTGAATCATTGATATAACACAAACATAAATGCTATAATCCAAGACATCTAAAACAAACAACACTCCACCTTAATTACCAAAATCATGTTTTGAACAATGATTAGTTTTTAAATAAAACGTATAATGTTTACAAACTTTAGAGATATTGTTGATAAAATAGTAAGATGGACAAATATGTATACGTTAGTAGGAGGCAAATGGTGTATTAAATCTATTACGGAAGAGAATCTTTTTATGTTTTTAGCTAGTCAATATTAAACATGGCTTCACGTGTCACTTACTAAACATAAAATCTTTTTTTAAATAAATTTAAAAGTATATACAAACTTTGATCTAATGTATAATCTAATGTATAAATTTTATCTTATACAATTTTTTAGTTACCTTTCCGGTTCCAAATATTCGCCTTAACTAATAGTCAATATAAATTCATGTGCCACTTATACATTTTATGCATTATTTGTTTTAAAAGAGTGTAAATTCAATCCATACTTATTGACAATTATAAAGGTAAAGCATCTAATTACTATAATTAAAGTTAATTATTATTAAATATAAACTAAATATAATCTAACCAAAATAAAATTATATAGAATCTACACACAAAGATATTTAAAACCATAAATAAATTCAGAGAGTCCCGCACATAATTTAAGTTATCTTTGGATGTTCAATTTAATGTAATGAGATGAATCAGGATTAAATTTAAAACTTCTAAAAAAACCAAAAAAAAAAAAACCCTAAAGCTTGTACGAATCAAGTAAGTTTAATGATTAAGAAATTTATTGTTATCCCTTGAGGTTCTAAGTTTAAGCATCACGTATGTAGAAGTATGGTTATACATTGTCAAAAGATTAAAAATTTCTAAATAGATACTATCTTGTATTCACTCCAGATTTATTAAAAAAATCTTAGAGCCTCAATCTTGATATTTCAGCTAAGGTCCCATTGACTTATGCGTATCATTTTAATTTTTATTCATTTTCTTAGTCTATTAACATTGTTTTTTTAATAAAAAAAACATTGATGTCTACAAGAAACTATTTTATATTTCCTTATTATATGTGTAAATAATAATATTTTTTATTTTAAAAAAGAATTTGATTTATTTATTATTTTAATTATATAAAATTAATTTTTTGAATAAAAGCTGAGTTTTCATTCAATAGAAAAATGAGATATAATAAAACAACATAATCTCAACATGAAAATCCAAATGACATAAACAAAAATAAAATCAAAACATTCACTTAAATACATGGTTCATCTTAAAAAAACTAATAACTATCAATTATCTTTATGTCTCTATTCGAACTTATATGCAATATTGATAAAGATGTAGATACTGAGAGAACCAATATGATAAATTGCTCCACTAATAGTTCTGAATGTATCGACAAAGTGACGTAAAAGGAGATATAACTATACGAGACTGTCGAACTTTCCTGATTAGGAGGCACACTGTAAAGAATGCAACACGAAACGCCAAATTATTATAACGAAGGAGAAAATCGTACCATAAAAACATAATAATAACAATAAAGAGTACACAATATTAATTTAAAATACACACATCAAAAACTTATGTGTATAAGTCAATAATCTCTAGAATATGTGATTAAAAACTTGCACTTGACGTCTACTATTTTCCATAGGTTGTGAGTTCAATATTCATTAAAAGCAACATTCTCTTTCCCTTTCCTTGGGTAGAAATTATTAAAAAAATTATGTATATAATTATATCAAATTAAAGTTTATACATCATATTGTATTTCAAATTAGAATTAATATGTATAAATAGAAATTTAACTATCACCCTTTAATTTAATCTAATTTAGTCCCATGCTTTTAAAAGTTAATTAATAATTAATTCAATTAATTACTTCGTTTAAAAATACTAAAATATATTATTTTATAAAACATATTTGTTCCAACACAAAAGAATTATGTTAGTATAATGGTGGAGTTGTTTCTAAGAACAAATGTATCATTATTTTAACTGAAATTATTAACTATTTAGAATAACAAATTATAATATACAATTAGATATCAAATTAAGCCAAGATTAGAGACTAAATCTCAATTTGGAGTATAGTAAAGAGACCAAAATCATAATTTGACCAAAACAAATATTAAAAAAGAGAAGGGTAAACTACATTGATCACTTTCATTTGAGTTTTGTATACTTTTACTCACTAAATTAAAAAAATTATTTGATAAGTTTTATTTTTAATTAATTAAGATATGACCACTAAGTTTAACTGTAGTTAGACCTTTAATTAATGGTTTAGTTTTATTTTAACTCTGAATTTAGATAAAACTTTAATTATGGCATTTTAAAAAAAATTCAAAGCAGTTTAAGTACAGATTTACATTTACCCTCTTTTTTTTAATATGTTTTTCTTCTTGATTCCACCTTACGTGCACACTCCGACCCTAATCCGACGAAATAGGCGCGACGATTTGATATTCCCTTTAAACAGCCTCAGGGACCAAACATGCTTGATGCAGGCAACCGCGCATAGAAAATTGCCAATTTTGCAAATTATTATTAAGAGGTTTTTATTCCCTCTTTTTCACCTATACTAGAGCTTGAAGTTTCTTTGAGTTGTAATATGCAATACTACAGTTTTGTTTGTATGTTGGTATAAGGCTACTCGAAATCTCGTAGAAGAAGATGCGTTTTTGAGGTATATTGTTGGACACTCTCTTGCCATTTAAGGTTCTTTCTTGACTTCTTCAAGACACATGAATCGTATGAATATCTTGGAAGTTGGAATCAATCAAGATAAGATCCTATATCTACCGCTTCATTCCTTGCATGTCTCTCATGTCGGGTGTTAGTACTTGAAACTTCAATCTGCTTGACCCTAATTGTGGTCGGGTCAGGGACGGGATGTGCGGAGCAAGGGAAGCTAGGGTTTGGAGAAGACAGATTTACAATTTACCCTTTTTTTAATATGTTTTTCTTGATTCCACCTTACGCGCACACTCCGACCCTAATCGACACGAAATAGGCGCGACGATTTGATATTTCCCCTTTAAACAGCCTCAGGGACCAAAACAGCTTGATGACAGGCAACCGCGCATAGAAATTGCCAATTTTGCAAATTATTATTAAGACATTGGTAAAGTTGATCTTTGAGCTCAAAACTTATCTAATTTTGCAGTTATGAATTTTGTCCAGGTTTTATTCCCTCTTTTTCACCTATACTAGAGCTGAAGTTTCTTTGAGTTGTAGTATGCAATACTACAGTTTTGTTTGTATGTGGTAAAGGCTACTCGAAATCTCGTAGAAGAAGATGCGTTTTGAGGTATATGTTGGACACTCTCTTGCCATTTAAGGTTCTTTCTGACTTCTTCAAGACACATGAATCGTTGAATATATCTTGGAAGTTGGAATCAATCAAGATAAGATCCTATATCTACCGCTCATTCCTTGCATGTCTCTCATGTCGGGTGTTAGTACTTGAAACTTCAATCTGCTTGACCCGTAATTGTGGTCGGGTCAGGGACGGGATGTGCGGAGCAAGGGAAGCTAGGGTTTGGAGAAGAAAAACATTAAAAAAGGAAATTACAAATTTATCCCTAAACTGTTTTAGATCTGCAAAAATGTCTATAATTAGAATTTTATATAAAGTTCAAGAGTTAAACTAAAATTAAACCATTTTACTAATGTACCATGTCACTAATTATTAAATGTCTAGCAACAGTTAATTATATATTAATTAAATAAAAATGAAAGTAATCAAATTTTATTTTTTAAATTTAATAAGAAAAATGTATAAAACTTAAATGAGATCAATCTTGTAATTTACCCAAAAGATAAATATAATATCATCGTAAATAACGGAAAGAGGAAAAAGAAACCACACCTGAGTTCCGCACATAAGATCTTCCTTGCTTCATTGATCCCCTCTCTTTCTGAATTTCCAAAATCAGATCAAATCCTAATTGTCCAAAATCTCATCGTTATCTTCCAAACCGGTTCTTATATCAATTCGCGCTGATAATTCGTAATTATTATTCGATCTTTGTTTATTTGTCACTGTATCTACATAAAATTGATAGGCATTTTGGGGAATAGGGGCCGTAAAACTTGCGTTTAATCTAATGGCGTGTATAAAAGGGGTGAGTAGATCGGCGTCAGTGGCACTGGCGCCTGATGCGCCGTACATGGCTGCAGGGACGATGGCTGGGGCGGTGGATCTGTCCTTCAGTTCATCGGCGAATCTCGAGATCTTCAAGTTGATTTCCAG